GTGTATGATCTCAAGAACACCTTCTTGAGCTTGGGAGAGTTTCAGAGCAATCTTAGCTCTTCTGGAGGTCAAGAGTCGGGTTAATAATGATCCAAATCATTTCCCACCCGTTCCCACCAAGAAAAGCCGTGATTTTCGCAATTTGTCTGTTTCAGACGTCCGGTCCGCCGGACCAGGACTTGGTCCGCCGGACCAGACGAGTAAAAACACGCGGAACAGTTCGGTCATGGTCTTGGTCCGGAGCTGACCAACTCTTGGTCAGCCGGACCAAGACCTTTTTGCCGACAGTCGAAATTTTCCGCGATCCGGCGGACCAGACCCTCGGTCCACCGGACCAGACGAGCTCCGGACCTTGCGTACTCCGTCTGACCATTTGGTCCGGCGGACCAAGATTCTGGTCTGCCGGACCGACGTTACTTCGACCAACACGATCTGCTCCGTCTGACTGCGCTGGTCCGGCTGACCAATTCTGGTCAGCTCCGGACCAGACAGTGTTTTCGGACAAATTTCTCCGTTTCTCCCAAGTGTGTCTGGTCCGGCTGACCAACTCTTGGTCAGCTCCGGACCAGACGTCAAAGACCAAGAAAAATCCGATTTTTCTCGTCCGTTTGATCCCGTCCATACACGTCCATCCCATATGTGTGTGACCCTTTAGGCTCCTCCGAATACGGCAGTAAACGCGAGATCCAATCTCGCTTTACCAATCATAAGCGGCCTCTAGCAAGACATTATGATTACCCGTATCGGAAAGAGTTAGATGTGATCTAACCGAAAAGCCAGAGATAGCTCAAACGATGATCCTCTTTGTCTCACGATATCATAGTTGAACTCATAGTTCGAATGCTTTGTCGTACCCCGAGTAGACTGTAAGAGATAGATGACATTCATCTATAGTGCGGCCGCACATTTCTACAGTCTCGCTCCTACGACGGGCCCAAGCGATATCTCTCTCTTTCGAGAGGGACAAAGTTTCATCTTGACTATCTACTATCCAATGCATGATTCGTAATATACCCGAGCCACGTCTTTATAGTCATCCGGTTAAAGACGACGTTTGACGCAGTCAAAGTACATTACTCGTCATGATGGATACAATAGATATCTCAGGTCTGAGGATCTAAAGCGAACCATCAAGTGAGATTCAAGTCATGGATTAAATCCAACCTACAATCTCACGCGAGTCATCCAGTCACTTGTTCCAAACAAGTACTCATGACCGTGATCCGTATCCAATACACATGATCATCATTATGATCATCCATCACGCCTCATGTTAGTCTTAATTCATCATTGTTCCCACAATGACAAACGACTAAGGAATTTAGGATCGTACATTACGATCCATGGATAATCATTATTTATCAAATATGCAAAATAAATAATAAATAAATAATGTATTCATCAAATAAATACATCGTTTCATACATGGTTCTCATATCGTATGATCATTCTAGAGCATCATATCCATCACGCTGATACATGCTGCGATGGCGGGATACCTTCCCATCATCAAATAGCTACGGGTGATGCATACCCCGTGATTCGAGGGATCGGCGAGACCGGAAGCTGCGGAGGAGTGGCTCACCCAAATCTCTCAGGACTTGGAGTACATGCAGTGCCCGTACCAAGACCGGGCTTTGATTGCGAGTCATCATCTGTAGGGTCAGGTCCGACATTGGTGGGCAAAGTTGGTGCATGAGGCACCAGCAGTACATCGCTTCACATGGGAGGAGTTCCAACGGGAGTTCGAGGCGAAGTACTTCCGGCAACAGGACCGTGAGTACCGTGTGGCAGAGTTCCTCATGTTGCAGCAGAGGTATATGACTGTCAGTGAGTACAAGGTAGAGTTCACCCGTCTACTAAGGTATGGAGGTCATTTGGTGCCCACCGAGGCATCGAAGATCCAGAAGTTCATCGCTGGACTCCGACCCTACTTACGGAGGAAGATCGAGATCCAGGAGTACCCGACGCTGAGTCGGTATATTTTCCAGCTAGAGAAGGTGAAGCGTGGAGAGCGAGAGGAGAAGGAGGAGAAGATCCGTGAGCGGAGCCCCGCTGGGAGATACTTTGGTACATGTTCATCGGGGAAGAATGCCTAGAGCAACGACCTACGTAACAAGGGCAAGGCGCCCGCTGTTCGTGCGCCACTACCACTGGCGGCAAGGGGGCCAGTGGTCTGTTTTCGTTGCGACCAGCCTGGGTACGTTGCCTCACGTTGTCTGACGAAAGTGACATGCGTAGGAGACACGCAAGATCGCATGCGATGCGATGGCCAATGTCACGCGAGTGACGGGCGTGGAGGCGCCCCTAGTCAAGTCCATTGACTAGGGTATACAGCTAGGCTTTATGGTGGACTCCATATGGGCATGATTGTGCTTGTCTTATATGTGTTTGCTATGTTTTCGATTATTGCATGTGTTCTGTGGAAATGTCGATTGTACCGTTCTCATTTTGAACGGAATTCCCGGGTTCAACCCGGGCTACTCACTAAGCAGTTGTGCTTAGCCTTCGTGGTTTACATTTTTCAGATCACGAGGATTACGCCTAGCGCCTCAGCAGACGACGACCCGAGAGAAGCAGCATCATGTACGGGATTTGTATTCTGAACCAAGGGATTTGTAGTTTCAACTTTCGTACGGTTGTATTATGACTATTCGGACGTGTGACATTTTGCGATACTAATCGCTCTGTATTTCCCGCTGCTACTCTGATTTGATCTAAAAATGTTTTTTTTTTTATTTCGTAAATTTTGCTTCCGCATTTTATCATTTTATTATTTTATTATCTTATTTTATATCGTCCATGTGGCACAACCCGTATACTGTACACGGGTTTCGGGTGTCACACCACTAATTGACCAAAGCAAAATTTATGAATTATTATGTTAAAAAATATACGTTTAGGAACTACTATATCTAAAAATACAAATTTAAAAATTATTGTGTTAAAAAATACAATTTGAGAATAAATAAGCACATCTTTGAATTAGTATTACACTAAATTACAAGTTTGGAAATTTTTAAATATTTTTTTCTAATTAAATATGCATCTGATTATTGTTTATAGCGTATTTAACATGCAAGTGTAATTAAATACGCTATAATTATAATATTTTATAAGCAGAAGAGGATAGCACAACTGGGTGTGTGTTAAAATGCTGATGATTTGGTCTTTCAATGTAATATTTGTATCTGTTTGTTACTTACGATTTACAATATAGATGTAGAATAGTAAGTTTATTATAGGCATAATCATGTATTCAAATATGTAAAATATACGTGCATGCATCTCTAGAGAATATATACAATATTTTAAGATAAATTTTGGAAAATAATAAAAATCCTACAATTTGGAATGTCCTTGAGATATTATAAATAGAATAAATAGGACAAATAATATTAAATCCAAAATATTTATCTTGGGAGGGTAGACAAAGATTAGTCATCGACAAAAAAAAACTTTGACTTTGGGTTTAGTTGTTATATATAACTTGAATATTTTTTTTATTATAATTCGATTTTGATCGGGTTGTTTCTTCACAATTTGGAAATTTTAAAAGAAAATATACTGTCCAATTTTAATTTGATTTTAATTATATTCAGGTTTAATACCAACAATTTTAATTATCAAAATATATTTAAAATAACTTTTATTTCATTCTATTTTTTAATACCTTCGAGTAATTTCACTTTAAAAAGTCACACCCATTTTTCTATTAATTTCACTCAAAATGCAAATTGGTATAATTTAGTTTATTTATATGTACACCTAAAAGTAAAGTGAAATAAAAATGGATATCTGATATTATGTCACACGACCTCTATGGCTCTATATATTTCTGTGGAAATAGTCCAAAGACTTTGTCTTCCGTTCGCATTTTGTTTTAGAATTCTTGGGAATTAGGATTGGAAGTTTCGTTAGATATCTCCATATTTTTTTGAACATATCATTCAAATTCTCAAACAATATTTTTGTTATAGAATCGAATTTTTCGAAAACGAATCCATATTAATTTGATAAAAATTTTAAAATACCAAATAAACCGTTTCGGGATCAAATCGTTAAAATTGTGAAGCTAATCCCAAAACTTATTGCAAATGCTAAAAAAAAAGTATCTAATATATTCATGCCTCCTGTTGGTTTTATAAACTTTTACACAAGTCGGATTTTTTTTGTTGCTGTTGTTGAAGCAGTCGGAGTATTTGCGTTTTCCATGTTGTTTTTTTTTTTCTTTGACGTTATAGTGGCATTTGTTTTTACAGTATATTGTATTTTATTAGTGTGAAACCTATGGCATAACTGGCCCAAAATTTTATTTTTCGGAATTTACTGAATCATATTTATGGAAAACTATATGATAAAACTCTTATTAGCAAAAAAAAAAAAAATCCTCTGTTATCGGTAGATTTATGTGATACAGACTTAATATATATTTTTTTCTTCCTATATTTGTTCCATAAACCTTAGCAATCATATAATTTGCACACTAACATAAAAATAGAAACAAGTTGGCTCAGAAAATAAAACAAATGGCTTGACGAAAATGAAACAATAGTATTTTGCTCCTCACATGAATTATTTTTTCTAAAAAATGCATTCATTTTTTTTTTATATGTAAGAAAAATGCATTAAATTTATCTATAAATGCACACGTTTACCTCCATCTCAGACAGAACCATCCCACTTCCTCTTCTGCTGATTTCGATTTCCCCTCCAGAAATGGCTACGAATGTGGAGAAAGCGTCGCACTGGTTGTGCGGCGGGGGGGTTTATTTGTTCCATAAACCTTAGCAATCATATAATTTGCACACTAACATAAAAATAGAAACAAGTTGGCTCAGAAAATAAAACAAATGGCTTGACGAAAATGAAACAATAGTATTTTGCTCCTCACATGAATTATTTTTTCTAAAAAATGCATTCATTTTTTTTTTATATGTAAGAAAAATGCATTAAATTTATCTATAAATGCACACGTTTACCTCCATCTCAGACAGAACCATCCCACTTCCTCTTCTGCTGATTTCGATTTCCCCTCCAGAAATGGCTACGAATGTGGTGAAAGCGTCGTACTGGTTGTCGGACGGGGGGTTTCCGGCCGCCGGCATTGACTCGCCTCTCTTCACTCATCTCTTCTACGCCTTCGCTGATCTCGACCCTCAAACCTTCCAAGTCACCGTAGCTTCCTGGAACCAGACCAAACTCTCCGCCTTCACTCCGACCGTCCAGCAACGCAACCCCAACGTCAAAACTCTCCTCTCCATCGGCGGCGACGGAAACGCCACCGCGGCCGCGTTTGCATCCATGGCGAGCAACCCTTGGTCCCGGACATCGTTCATCGATTCGTCCATCGCATTGGCCAGATCGAACGGCTTCCACGGCCTCGATCTGGACTGGGAATATCCGAGCAACGCGGTCGAGATGAGCAACCTGGGGACGCTGTTACGGGAATGGCGTTCTGCAGTTGCGGCTGAGGCCAGAGGCAGCGGCAAACCGCCTTTGCTGTTGACAGCCGCGGTTTTTTACTCGTCGAATCGCTATGGGGTTGACTATCCGGTTCAGGCCGTTGCCAATAACTTGGATTGGGTTAATCTCATGGCTTATGATTTCTACGGACCGGGTTGGTCTAATGTGACTGGTCCACCTGGTGCTTTGTATCCTCCAAACGCAGGTACAGCGGTTATGCAAAATACCAAACCAGTTTAAACCGAAATCAAACCAAATTGAAAGATAAGTTTATCTGCTAAGATTGCATATATTAACACATACACAGCAAAATCTTGGTGGAACGATGGCTTGGCTATTGATTTGGTATCTTACGAAACAGGAAATGTATCATGCATACCACGATATAACCAGACACAAAACCCGGTTCGGTTCGGTTCACTGATCCAAACCGGTTAATGAACAGGTCCGAGTGGAGACACCGGCGTAAAAGCTTGGATTCAGGGCGGCGTCCCGGCGAAGAAGCTGGTTTTGGGGTTCCCGTACTACGGCTGGGCGTGGCAACTCGAGAACGCCCAAAACCACGGCTACTTTGCGCCCACCACCGGAAGAG